CGGACAGGTACCTCACTGGGTGCCCGCTTTCCTACAGGGCCCTGACAGGGCTGAGCTTGGGGTCACAACTAATAGCCACAGACCTGGGCAAGAGAGGAGGGAGGGCTCAAGTTTCTGCCTCTGGGGGCAGCCAACACATGACTTCCACAGACTCTAGGCTCACTGGGCAGAAGAAAGAGAGGTTGAGCAATTCACCAAAACCACAAAGCAAACGGGGTAGATCCAAGGTGCGGGGTGGACATCCTCTAGTTCCAGTCCTGGAACTGTCCATAGGCTGCGAGCCACGGGGGACCCTGTTCTAGCCTGCTGCACTGGAAGGCATACGGACCAGGCCAAGGCAGCCTGAGTCCGCCGGCAGAGCCAAGATCAGCAGTGGCCCCTCTCACGGCCTCGGCCTCTCTGTCTTGACAATGGAGGCCCCTAAACTTTCTTCAGGTCTGATACCAGAGGACCCCAAGACAAGGCCTCCCCTCTCCCCACCCCTGGGCCCCACAGCCCACACCACAGACATCTGATCCGACCTTGGGCCAGGAATGGCTGCTGTACTGCACCTGTTTACCCAACACAGCCATAGATATGATCCAAAGCTTCCGGTCTGTTGTGAAAACAGCAGCTCAGCCACCACAAGCCTGCCCTCCTGGCGCCTGGGCAGGGAGGGCCCTTCGAGGGACAGCCACCCCAGCCTGTGTCTAGGGCCCCTTCAACCTCCCCACTGAGGCTTGCTGAGCCCGCTCCTCCCAACCCACTTTCAGCCAGAAGCTCCGGCACCCCTGCCATGTGGCCCCACCTGCCTGCCCGGCCTCGCCACGTGAGAGTCCAGAAGCACTCAGATCTGCCCACCAACCTGCTGCTGTTCCCCTCCAAGTGCTCCTCAACGTGCTAGGAGTGCCCACGCTCATGCAGTTGTCAGGCCAGACACCGGGGCCGGCTTTCCTGCTGCCTGCCCTCCCCACACGGCCCACTACCCGGTCTGCCTCTGCAGCGATCCTCGGGACCTCTCTTCCTCCCATCCTCTGCCCCATTCAAGCTACCAGCACCATCCCCAGGCTTGGTGCCTGCCTCTCCACAACTCTCCCTTCTCTCCTCTGGCCCCCATGGTCCCACTGCACCAGCCTCCAGATGGAGCTTTTAAGAGGGGACCTCTCACCCCTGCCCAAACCTCTAGTGTTTCCCGTTGCCCCTCTACCAGCCCAGACTCTTCCGCCTGCCTGTTCCACCCAACCTACCACCCTTACCTCCCTGACCTCCTCAGGAACTGCCCTCCTCCCACCCTGATGCCCAGCCACAGTGACCTCTTTCCTTTCCCGAACAGCCAAGTCCCTCCCACTGAGGACCCTCTGTGCTTGCTGTTCTGCCTTCCTCTCCCTCCCCACCCCCACAGTGGCTCCTTCCCACATTCAGGTCCTACCCAGACACTGCCTGATCAGCCCATTTTGCAAATGAGGCAACAGGGGCTCAGAGCCGTCAATCCCTGGCTCAAAGGTACATGGCCAGTAAATATCAAAGCAGGGTCTGTCTGATGTCTGCAGAGGTCCTCGTCTGCTCCCAAGCATCCAGGACGTTCTCACGTACACTCACAGCCCAGGCCCTGGCCCCTGCTGACCTCCAGCCCTCTCGCCTCCTGAGCTCCGCTTGATATGCCACCCTCGTTACCTCTCCAACCCCACAGCCTCAGCTTCCCGATCCCAACAGCGGAGACCAAAGCTCAGGCCAGTCCTCACTGCTGACCTGTGTGTTCCTGGGGCGGGCAGGCCCCTGCCACCGGCTGCCGTGTGACATGGATATAGGCATGCAGTACTTGCAGAGGAGTTTCTAGCTCCTCCACTCCTCCCACCCCAGCAGCCCCAGATGTCTGCTCTCTTCCCCAACCCAAAGGCTAACCCCAGAGGTCCACAGGGTATGTGGGCTGGCAGAAGGGGTCACCGCCCACCTCTGTTCCCAGCCAATTCTCAAAGCCCAAGGCCCTGCAGGAGGCCAGAGCAGGGAGCGGGCAAGAGGATCCCTGAGGGGGCAGCAGGCAGCTGCAGACTGCCTTTCCCGCTGCTGCATCCATTTGTCACGAGATCTATTTTTTCTCTTTGGAAGGCTGTTGGGGGAGAGGGAGAGGAGGGGGCTGGGGGCCGAGGGGCTACAGCTGCTCCACCTGGAGCTCCTCTCTCAGAGGACGTAGGACCTACTGAACCAAGCAGCTATCACCGTCCCCTGGCATTGCTGCTGGAGGCGGAACTGAGAGGAAATGAGGGGGCCAGAGGATCCTGACTTCTCAGCCAGGCTCCACAGCTACTCTAGTCCCGTGACACTGGGCCGGTCCCCAGCCCATCAGATAATAATGGCACATTATCAGTACCACTTGCTGGTTTTTGAATAGTTACTATGAAACAGGCACTACGTGCCTCACATGACTATGGTTTCTACTCATTAAAAACTGACAGTGAGCCAAGCATGGTGCTAGCTACTTAACATACATGATCGGTTCTGCCCTGAATAACTTCAAAAAGGTGGATATTATCATTACCTCATTTGTCAGAGGGGGAAACCAAGGCACTGAGCATCAGAGCCCCTTGCCTAGTCATTCATACAGCTGCCTGCTGCTGCCTAAGGCCTGAGACGCAGCTCCGCCATCCTCAGCCCATGCTCCTGAACCTCGGCTTACAAGCTCAGAGCGAGAGAGGCGGTGGGGTGGGAGGGGCTGCAGGGGACTTCATGCCTCAGGTCTCTATCCTTCGAGAGCCCCTGACAAGGCAGGCAGCTCTGGCAGTGGAAAGCCGGGTCATTTAGCCTAATCCACCAGCCAGATGCTGCTCCCCGCAGTAGGTAGGACAGGGCTGATGCAAGCCACAGCTGGATGGCTTGGTCAGTCCCACTGTGAAACCACTTCCTGGGCAGCCCGGAGGAAGTGAGCCTCCGGAAATGCCTTGGACATATGGGCCTGTCCCCTGGGCTCCTGCCTTGCAAAGCAGACCCCAGAAGACTACCCAACCTGGCCCCCCCAGTCCCAGAGGCCAGCAACTCCACTCTCGCCAGGCATGAACACTATGGGGCACAGAAGGGCTGTATAACCCCACTAGCCTTTGAGCACCCTGGCCCCATGACCAAACAGCCTACTTCCTCCTCTGTGGCAGCAGCCACAAACGGCACCGAACAGCTGACATAGCACCTCCTCCACACCCGTGCTCCTCATCTCCGACACCAAGCTGTGGTCAGCCCGGGGGCCTGGGCCAGGGGGATAGACAGCTACTGAACATCTGGCCAGAGCCCATGTTTCAGTGTGGCCCAACCCCTCCTAGCCCATGGTCACAGCAGCACCCTGAACATTACCATCACATGCCAGACCCGGGCTACCAGACTGGCCTGCGACCCTGAGCGGGGCTCCCCTCCTAACACAGCACGGGCACTGTGTGGTACGTGTGGGCAGCCGTCCGAGTGCATAGAGACAGTGGTGAGCATCTGCATTGTTGAGGGGTGCATGTGAATAGCCATGTGCTTGTGTGTCCACATGTGTGGTGTATGTGCTGGCACCAGCATCTATGGCGGGGGCGCCCAGTGCAGCCTGGCTTTCTGTATCGCCGTTGAACATGTAATTACCCAGCCAGCCAGGCAGGTGATGCATGCAAGTTTAAAGTGGAAGGGCTCCAAGGGTAATGGAACTCCTCAGGAACGAGGCTGGTGTGAGATGGGAAAGACTGACCCCCGACCTCAGGCAACAGAAGCCCCAAGCCAAGGGCATTTCACCTGCACCCCACCAGGTCCGGGGGTAGAGCGGATAAGCAGAAGACCCTGTCCTTGTTCTGCACTCTACAGAGTGAGGGCCTGCCCTCCTCCTGCTCCAGCAGCCAGAGTCGGGAGCTCAGCCTCAGCTCCACATACAGTCATTCCCAGGACAGAGGGCAGAGAGCCAGGAGGGCTGGAACGAGGGAGGAAATAAGGGATACCTCCTAAAAGAAGGGTCACCCTTACCATCCCCTGCCTGGTCATTTCCCAGGTTCCAGGTGGCCTCACTCCCTCATACATACCTGGCTCACTGGGCTCTAAACACTCAACAAGCTCTTTGCCTCCTATCACCCTTGCAGGCCTGCCCCTCCCCTTCCCCCTTCTCCCTCTCCCTTCCTTCTCTCCTGCCATCTCCTCCTCTTCCTCCCTCCTCTTCTCCCCTTCCCTCTCCCTGTCTTTCTCTCCCTCTCCCTCTGACTGGAGATGGAACCCCAGGCCTTGCTCAAGCCAAGCACATGCTCACCACTGAGCTACACTCCCAGCCCACAGGGCCGTTTTCATTAGAATGGGGTGAGGAGGAAAAGCTGGCCCCAAAGGTAAGAACTGCTGGCTTCCCTAGCACTCCTTGGAGACACCGCCCAACTCACCTCTAAATCTGTAGAATGGAAAAGGGATTTGGGGTCCCCCCTTAGACCCAAAGGGCTGGGGAAATGGAGAAGCTGGGGTATGCAAGAGGCCTCAGATCGCTGGGAGACCCTGTTCTGTTCCTCGCCCAGTGCGCAACCTGCCCTGGGCCCCGGGTGAACCTTAGTTTCCTTATGTGAAGATGAGGGCAGTGTGAGGCAGATAAACGAGGCCGTGGAATGGCTGCCACATCTACCTTCAGCCCTGGGCTGACAAGCCACGTTCTCTCCAACTGGCCTAAATGGTGTCACCACTCCTTCCACCAAACTAAGGGTGGCCCCCAGTCCTCTGAGCTTCAAGGCCAAAGCCTTCAACAGGTTCCACACAGAGAGCCCCATGCTGGCAGGGCTAATGGCTGCCTCTTCAAAGGCTGCAGCGGTAGTGGGAAGTGCCAGATCAAGGACTCTGCATGCTCCCCCAAGTCCATGAAGGCCCAGAGGGGAAGGGGTGGAGTCCAAGGAGGAAGGCCACCCAGCATACGACATGCTCCATCTGCCCAAGAGTTCCCAGTCCTGCCTGGAAGAGAGCTCAATGGCACAAGGCTGGCAAGTGCGAGGTCCTGAGTTTGATTCCCAGGACCAATAAAAAAGAGTTCCCAGTCCTACCTGGGGCTCCCAGCTCCCACTTGTCCTTGGTCCTAGCTCCTGCTGCTCCTGTCACTCACCACCACCAGGAGAAGTAGGCCTGCCGCCCCCGCCTGGGCTGATTCCCAGCAGACCTGCAGGAACAGGAGAAAACAGCTGAGCAGGGAGGCGCAGCCAACCAAACAGGCTCTCCCCTCCGCCAGCCGCAGCGTGGCAGACAGGCCTAGCCAGCCTCACCTGGCTCTTAGACCTTGGGCCTCTCTGGCCTTGGCTTTCTCCTCTGTGAAATGGGATGTTAGGCCCAAATTTTCTACGTGTCCACTCCATGTTAGGGAGTGGAATACTGTGTCTCTGTCCTTGGCTCACTTCTAAGCTGAGAGGTGGCCAGCAGACACAGCAAAGAGCTGTACCTGACCCTCCCAAAGGAGAGGTTGTCCTACAGGTTTTGGAATCCTAGGGTGCAATCAGGTACCAGCACTTTATGGCCTGGGGCAATTCGTCTGTGCCAATCTTTTAAAGTGGCAGGGGAATGCTAGCACCCTTCTCCCCAGGGGATTCTGAGGCTCCAAGATGTGCTGTGCCAGTTCCCCAATGGACTCACGCTGGAAGGAACCAATGAACTGGGATACTTTTTTATTCTTTGTTTTCTACCTTACGGTTCACATGATCCTCACATTACTGCTGTGCCCATTATTCAGCTAAAAAAAAAAAGAAACAAAAACACAAAACACCACTGAGGCCTAGAAGGGAGGAACGGCAGAGGGAACAAGGTTCCCTGGGTCTCTTGGTTGAAAGGTCTGGGCTTTTCTGCTGTAGGCCAGGCCAGGCCTCCACAAAACATTCCCTTTCCTAGCTGTGATCCCCTCGCTCAGCTAGAGACCCCCATCACCACTGCTTGGGGGCAAGGGTGTCCTCAGGCTTTATCTTCTTGTCAGTACTTTAAATTATTTCTAGTTTTAATTTAAACTTCAATTAGCTGTCCCAGCTAAATGGTGTTAGTACCCCGCAGGCACATCTCTGAATCACCCCCTCCCCATGTCACTGCCACAGGGACTGTGGGCTGGTAGTTGGGGTGGCGGGTGTTCTCATTTGGGCAGAACAGGGCTGGATCCTGGGGGCTCTGCGAACACCTCCTTCCCACAAGCAGCCTTCCTGAGAGGATGGGAAGGGGCAGCAGATCACACTGCAGGCAAGAAATGGGACTGGGGACATCTGAGCTTTCATTAGCTTCAGTTCCCAGGAGAAGAGGGACCACAAAGGGGAGGGGTCATCAAATAAGGCTTAGCATGTTCTTCCTCCTCAGTATGCACCAAGGTTGTGCTGAAGGACCTCTGACAGGGACTTCTAGTCCCTACAACTCTCTCTACTCTGCAGACAAGGAAACAGTGCCAGACAGGCCTGGCTTAGGTCTCTCGCCGTTGATAGGCATGATGACTATTTGAGGTTTTGGTCATACATAATGCTAAAAGCCTATGCCCGGTGTGGTGGTGCACACCTGTAATCCCAGCACTCGGGAGGCTGAGGCAGGAGGATCACTGTGAGTTTGAGGCCAGCCTGGGCCACTTAGTGAGTCCAAGGCCAACCTGAACTACATAGCAAGACCCGATGTCAAAAAACCGAAAATTTTCTTAGGAATTTTTAAATACATAACACTAAAAAGCCCAAGAAGTCCAAGGTCATGAGTTTGATTCCTGGTACCGGGGAAAAAAAACAAAAGCAAAACAAACAAACAAATAAAAAGCCGAAGCTTGACTCCAGCTTCCTCATCTCCCCAGCAGCCTTAGCTGGCCTTGCAGAGGCAAAGTGCACAGCCACGATCTCACAGTCTCCCACATGCTCACACACACTGGGCTCTCACTGTCCTTCCACATGCTCACACACACTGGGCTCTCACAGTCTCCCACATGCTCAC